GGAGCAGAGGCTCTTTCACCTTTACCTACTGTAACTTCTCCGCGTATGGAGACTAAATGCTACTGCTGCTACTACGGGGCCAGACAGTTGCTGTCACAGCTCTAGGATGTGCGTTCTTCCACTAGAAGCTCTTCTGAGGGAGGTGACCGCGCCCCGCCGGCAAGCAATTGCGCCCAGTTAAAAAACAGTGGAATGGAACAACAGTGCTATAGTCATCCTATGTTATGTTCCTTGCCAACAATGTATACATTCCTGCTAGGTGCCGTATTTATTGCTTTAAGCTCAAGTCGTATCTTACTGGTGAAATATTCTTCCAATGAAGAAAACAAGTATGATTATCTTCCAACTACTGTGAATGTGTGCTCGGAACTGGTGAAGCTGGTTTTCTGCGTGCTTGTGTCATTCTGTGTTATAAAGAAAGGCTATGGCTGTTATCTTCTCAACTATTAGCATTATAACAACAGCTCTTCTGTTCAGGATAGTGCTGAAGAGGCATCTAAACTGGATCCAGTGGGCTTCCCTCCTGATTCTATTTTTGTCTATCCTGTCCTTGACTGCCAGGACTAAAACTTGACAGCACAACTTGGCAGGACATGGATTTCATCACGATGCCTTCTCCAGCCCATCCAATTCCTGCCTTCTTTTCGGGAGCGAGTGTCCCAGAAAAGGCAATTATACAACAAAGGAGTGGACTTTTACTGAAGCTAAATGGAACACCACAGCCAGGGTTTTCAGTCACATCTGTCTTGGCTTGGGCCATGTTCTTATTGTTGTCTAGTGTTTTATTTCTTCAATGGCTAATATCTATAATGAAAAGACATTGAAGGAAGGGAACCAGCTCACTGAAAGCATCTTCATACAGAACAGCAAACTCTATTTCTTTGGCATTATGTTTAATGGGCTGACTCTGGGCCTTCAAAGGAGTAACCATGATCAGATTAAGAACTGCGGATTTTTTTATGGCCACAATGCATTTTCAGTAGCCCTTATTTTTGTAACTGCATTTCAGGGCCTTTCGGTGGCTTTCATTCTGAAGTTCCTGGATAACATGTTTCATGTCTTGATGGCCCAGGTTACCACTGTCATCATCACAACAGTGTTTGTCCTAGTCTTTGACTTCAGGCCCTCCCTGGAATTTTTCTTGGAAGCTCCATCAGTCCTTCTCTCTATATTTATTTATAATGCCAGCAAGCTTCAAGGTCCAGAATATGCACCTAGGCAAGAAAGGATCCGAGATCTAAGTGGCAATCTTTGGGAGCGTTCCAGTGGGGTAAGTTTGTGAGGGTGCTCCTTTTTGCTTGTTCTCCCCAAATTTAAAGCATAGTTAATTCAAGGGGGGAAAAAAAATCAGTACTGATTTGTCAAAGAATGTATTGGATCTTTGACTTTTAAAACTGAATCAACAAACATTCATTGGACTCCTGATGTCTGCAAGGGCTCATGATAAATGCTCTATCAGGGATAGAGAAAAAGTATAAGTCAGTCTAAAGGACCTTATGTGTTATTTCATAGAATACTACAGAATTATACACCTGGAAGATAACTCGTAAGTTGTCTTGTCCTGTCTCCATAGTTTTACAAGTGAAGAAACAGGCAAAATGGTTTACCGATAATAAATGAAAGGACTGGTCCTACCCTGAAAAAAAAAAAACAAAGAAAGAATGATAGCACATGCCTGTAATCCCAGCACTTTGGGAGGCCGAGATAGGTGGATCGCTTGAGGCCAGGAGCTCCAGACCAGCCTGACAACATGGCAAAACTCCATCTTTACAAAAAATACAAAAATTAGCTGGGCGCGGTGGTAATCCCAGCTACTCGGCAGGCTGATGCACTGATGAACAAGAATCGCTTGAACCCGGGAGGCAGAGGTCGCAGTGAGCAGAGACCACTCTGCTGCACTCCAGCCTAAGTGACACAGTGAAATTCTGTCTCAAAAAAACAAAAGAATGATAGCGTCATACAGGAAAGTAGAGGATACCTGGGACAACTATGTCTATCATGGAAGGCCCCAGATTCTCACTCTCCAGTATAGCAACCAGACCTTCCTGAGCATAAGGCTGATCATGCCACTGGGTTTCCCTGAGGTGGACATCTGTTATTTAAAGAAACTGTGGTTACCAGCACTAAAGGGAAATAGAGAAAGTTCTTTCTTTTCCAACTTCCTATACCAATTGAGAAGAGGCCACTGAAAGAAGCCACAACCCCAAACCCCAAAAGATGTAACTAATGTAAACACTCAAAATGGCCATAACTTAGAAACTATCTTTCATTTATGCACAGAAATAATTTTCTTATAAGCCCAGCCCTCTCAGATTGGTAACACCACTAACAGCTTTACAGCTGTTTACTTCCCTTGCTTTATTTCTAGACATGAGAAATAAGGAACAAAATATACAATTATGAAAACAATTGGAATGGCAGTCTACAGACAAAACAGACAAACTGTATAAAAGTAGAGAGTATATTGGGGCCAAATGTGAGTACTGCAACCAAGGGAACACCAAATCGAGTTGCCCTGACTATATGCAACAGTTACAAATGGGTTTTTTAAAGAAAAAAAGGAAGCAGTTTCTAAGTTGTTTGCAAAGAACTTATATCAAAATAACACAAATTAATGATAGGCTAAACATCTTTTTTGTATCAGATTCCAGGAACACAGCGAGTAAGGTAGTCGGGAACAAATGTCTTTAAATAATTGCTCCTGCGCAGGGGTCCAGGTGGCATGGCTGAAGTCACACACTCCGTCTCTGGGCCTGATAAACTGTGCAGCTCTTACAAAACTCAGATTGCTCTAAGCTATTTTTCTTTTTTCAGGGAGTTGCACAGCTACTGACAGAAGGCACATCTTGGTTTTAGTTCATAGTACAAACCTCAGTTATGATAATATTTTCAACTTCCTTTCATAAAAAGGTTTTAAACTCATGTCAAATAATTAGACCTTCTCTGGTTCTAATGAGCTGAAAAGCAAGAGAAATTCTTGGGTACAAATGGGGAAATCTGTTTTTCCGAATTTCTCTCTCTAGTTCTAAAATCCAATGAAATTTCTCATTATTGAAACTTATCAGATGAAAATATTGGCCAGCATTAAATTCTTGTCCTCCCCAAGCCCCACCTCCTTTTTTCCTAGTTTCTAACCACCATCCTTTTGTTAGGCCAGCTTAACTAGCTTTACATCTCTGAGCCTAGCCTGAGGGACCGCTTCCTGTGTCTGGAATGTAAAATCCCTCTCCCCACTAGGCTTCCGGTCCTCCCTACACACACACACACACACACACACACACACACACACACACACGGACTTCCCTTGCTCCATCCCATTCACATGTATGTCATTTTTAAGTCTCCATCTACATGTTTTTAAGTCATAATATGCATTTACCAATTTTGTACATGTGCTAATCAGTGTACGGGCTGTGTTTCCTATCCAGTTGCCCATTCTGTATGTGTCCATCTTAAAATACAAGCTCATGCATGACTTAAGCCTGGAGAATTTGCTGAAGACAAAGGCAATCAAGATGCCATGTGCAAATACTTTTTTTTAAAATTAAGCTTGTGATAGCAATGCATATTTAAGAGATAAGCAGAAAGATTTTTGAAATATTATAACAAAATGAACTTAATGAAACTTCCCATACTCCCTTGATCACTCCTAGAATACAATCATCACTTTCTTAATCTTAGGAAGTATCAGGAAACAGAAATGAGACTACTTGTAGATACCTTACCTAGTTTCCCATGTTATAAAAGTATCTTGTAAAAGGGACAGGGTTTTTGGATCTACTAAAATGTGTACTCAACCACAACTCCACATGGATAGGAAAAAGCTGGAAAAGCACGACTGTTCATTCTCATAGTTTTCTCCTTTTACTTACTAAAGCTATACTCAACTAAAGTGTGTTTTTCGTCTAAAATGGAACAAGCATGAGGAAGCCAGAAATAGAACCTCCAACTCCAGGAGAAAGGTTGTGTGATCCCTGTTGAATACAAAATGCATAGTTTCCACTCGATTACTGCTTAATTGTAGTGAAAGCGACAAAGGCGCCATTTGCATATTATTTCTTCCAAGTGAAACTTTGGTCTGGGATTGGTTGTAGATAAGGGCAGTTGAGAACCACGCTTCATCTCCCTCCTTCGAAAACTCTGAAACCTGGCTTTATTTCTACGAAAAATTCGGATTGCATTATGGTCAATTCCAAAATGTTAGATGGCAGAGATATCTGGCCATCCTTCACTTCCCTTGGAAAAAGTTGCTCTTCGGGTTTTAAATGCGATTGCAGTTTTCCAGTGTTTGAAACCAGGAAAACAAAACACTCAACGGTGTACATTCCTACACCTAAATCGTCAGAAACAATAGGCAGCTAGGCTAATTATCCTTGATTAGCAAGACCAGAGCCATTAGGGTGCTCACTGGTTTAACAGATGAATGCCCTTAAGCGTCTGTCATTTGTAACTCCTACAAGCTTTAATTTCTACAAGAAACAAAATAAGACGAGCCCTCCGCTTTTAACAGCGCAGAGATCCTTCCACCTCCCCTCTTCCAGCCGGGTCACCTCTTCCAGCCGCTCCCTCTAGCATCACACACACCCTGCAGGAAAGTCCATTTACAGCCCGGCACATCCCCGGACGTCCCCTCCAAAATCCCCCCAAAATCCCCCACCTCCTGTGCACCGGAGAAATGGAGAGAAGCCCCCACTTCCTTTCCAAACTTCACTAGCAAGGGAGGGAGCTGAGAGCAGCCTTTTACCTCCGTTCCCAAAAGCGAACGTGAAAACGTCCGAGAAGGTACATCCTGCGAGTGTAGGTTAAACCGAAATCTGAACAGAATGCACGGTCCCAGGTAACTGCGATTGATAAAGACGATGTTGCAGACGATATTGTGGGGGACAGAAGCCACGGTTGTCTCGCCTTCCTCCCCTCCCTGCCAACTGTGTTTCTTGGAGAAATCGCAGGTTTGATTCATGCACACACTTTTGTAAAACACAGACAAAATCATGAGTTACCTGCATTGTTCTGTCGGCCCCGAGGGAAGCTCGAGCGGAGCGGAGGGCAGATCCCAAGGGTCGCAGCCCCCGACCGCGTGGACCGGGTCTGCGGCTGCAGAGCGCAGTCCGGCTGCCGCAAGACCTGGGGCAGTGCCCCGGGCGGCGGCGAGTACACGTGGCGGGCGGGACTGCAGGCCCGCCCTCTCGCGGCGGAGACTCGCGCTCTAGCAGATTGCATCAGCAGGAAGACTCCTAAGGCTGCTCCTCCAGGCCGCCCCTAGATGGTGGATTCTCTCCCAGCGAGAAGATTCGGAGCTAGCGCCCAGCCCCCAGCGTCACTCCCTGCTCACTCCGAGGGTGCAGGGGGGAGATGCCAGTGTTGCAAGCAGGTGACACGGTTACCCCCGAATCAGTGCCCGTGGGTGAGTAGCCGAGTATGGGATGCCCGTGTAACATTTATATTGGGACGTCAGGGAGAAGGAGGAAACAGATCAGAGGTCAAATACGATTGCCATTCCCTCATCACTGGCTCCTGCCCACATCCTTACTGTCACCAAAGTAACTTTCCTGCATGCCAATAGGACCACGGCACAACCCTGCCCAAAAGTATACGTGGATCCCCCGCAGCTGCTTTAGACATACTTTTCCAATAGTCAAGAACATGTGCCTGGTTTGCCAGTCTCTTTCCTGGAGTTCCTTAGTCCACCCTCGAATATAACCACTTTTGCCAATTTATTATGTACATGGAAATTTTTAATCCTTTAATTGGAGCATATAAAATTCTTTCTAATGTGAAATTTCTCGGTAGCCCGGTTGGTCCCCTCTAAGTTCCATCCGCACATCTATATAAAAGCTCCAGGATTGCTACGTTTCCATGTCCAGCTCCTAAGTCAGACTCCATGACTGCCTAAGGGTGCTGCTGATTGGCCCCAGCTCCCTCTCTGTCAATCTGGCAAACTCCCATTTCTGTAAATTTCAACCCAAGCCTTTGCTGTGGAAGTTGCCGCCAATGCCCTCAAACAGAATTGGGCCCTTGGTCTATATGCTGCACTTTGTCCACATCCTTTATCAAAACCAATTATTTTATTGTATTATTTTTTAATAGAGACAAGTTCTCACTAAATTGGCCAGGCTGGTCTTGAACTCCTGGCCTCAGCAATCCCCTCATCTCAGCCTCCCAAATTGCTGGGATTACAGATATGAGCCACTGTGCCCAGCCTCTTAATTTTATTTTAATTATTTGTCTGCACAGTTGTCACTTCACTGGATTATGAGATTCTTAAGGGCAGATCTTTGTCATATTTATCTCCCATACCGAGTGGCCTGCCTTGGAAGAGAGGGAGTGTTGAATACAAATCTGTTGGTGCTTAACAACTGTTGGTCAGGTGAATGAATGGTTAGATTATTTGTTCAACAAATGTACTGAGTGATTTCTACATGCTAGGGTATATAATAAATAATAGTTTATAATCTGAAATGTCTCAAAATTATTGGATACAATGAGTTCTAAATTTCTCATCAAAGAGTATGTCAGCATGTTCAATTATCTTACTCTTTAATTCTCTATTTTAAAGTTTAACTTCCTTGTAATTCCTTCTCTGCCAGTTCTAAATCAGTGGTTCACATCTCCTCCTCCTCCCCCCACTGCATCCTGACTCATCCCAGTCACCTAATCACCCCTGACTACTGCTCTGACATGCCCTAACAGTCCTTCCCGCCAAAACACCCACCCTGCCACTCCAGCCTGGACCCCTACTCTTTTTAAAATAGCCAATCGGGATTAGTCTAGCTTGTGCGGTCTAACCCTAGCCAATAGGGGATGACACAGCAGTAAGGATGCCCACCCCCCCAGCCCTCTCAGGCATAAATACCCCTTCTCCCCTTGTCCAAGCATGCCTCAGCCATCATTGCTCCACCTGTGTACCCGGCACCCTTCTATAGCAGTAAACTGCCTGGCTCAAGGGAGGATTCATCTTCGAGTGTTATTTGTTTTATGGCATCGAAATTTTACCTATAAAAAAATTGAGTCATTTAGGACAAGGGACTCAGCCTCCAGTGAAATTGCTGACTCCTGAAAGTGATAAGCATGTGTATGGTGGACTGAGGTGATAAGATAACACCTGTTGTGGCCTAGCACCGCTGGCAAGAGAGTAAAGAGAGAGGCAGCCAAGATAATGGTTTTGGGCACTTGCGGAAGGCCATGAAAACGGAAAAGCAATGAAAACCTACAAGTAACTGACCCCAAGTAAAATGCTTGCAGAAGTTCTGCCTCTGAGAACTCTGAATCTGTAAGCATTTAATCAGCCATTGAGTCATTGTGAAACCTCCTGGCCCCCATCAGCGTTAAGTACAACTATATAGATTTGAACCTGACACTGATGTGAGACAGCGCTGTGCAAAATGCTAGGGACTAAGTGGTAACTAACAAAAATGTTCTTACCCTCATGAAGCTTATGTACTGGTATAAGAAGCAGAAAGTAAACCTTAAATCAAGTAGAAACATGTGTATCAACTGATGAATGGATAAATAAAACATGGTATAATTCATACAACAGAATATTATTATATTCAGCAATAAAAAGAAATGAAGTACTGATTACATGCTGTGACATGGATGAAGCTTGAACACTATGTAAAAGTGAAAGAAGCCTCTCATGAATGACTACATACCATATGATTCCATTTATCTGAAATGCACAGAACAGGAAAATCCACAGGGACGGAAAACACATGGTTGTTTTCAGTCTGAGGAAAGGGTGGAATAGAGAGCATGAATGCTCATGGGCACAGGATTTCTTTTTGAATTAATTAAAATGTTCTTAAATTAGCTCATGGTAATGGTAACACAACTCTGTGAACACACTAAAAACCACTGAATTATACCCTTTAAACAGGTGAATTGTATGTTATGTGAATTATATCTCAATAAAGATTTTACTTTATGGCCGGGCATGGTGGCACACACCTACAATCCCAACACTTTGGGAGGCCAAGGCACTTGAGGTCAGGATTTCAAGACTAGGCTGGCCAAAATGGTGAACCACTGTCTCTACTAAAAATACAAAAATTAGCTGGGCGTGGTGGCGGACGCCTGTAATTCCAGCTACTCACGAGGCTGAGTCACGAGAATCACTTGAACCCAGGAGGCAGAGGTTGCTGTGAGTTGTGAGCTGAGATTGTGCCACTTTACACCAGCCTGGGCAATAGAGCAAGATACAGTCTCAAAAAAAAAAAAAAAAAACAGGTACCATCATGTGGTAAATTTTATGACAATGAGTGATAAGGGGATAGAGAGAGATGGAGTAATAAACATAAATGCATTAATGAATAAGTTCTAGAGCAAGCCTGGCAATTACTTCTAGACCCAATGACCACCCCTACCCACTGCCAGCCACCCCTGATGCAGGATTTTTTCCCAGTCCCTTTGCCAGTCAAGGACCTCTGGCCAGCAATACCGGAGGCTTAGCTCAGGGCATGCTACCTGCCGCAGGAGGCACCCCGCCCAGCTGGCCTGCCTGGGCCAATTCTGCCTTGCACACCAGTTCCTGAGTTCTTGTCCTGTGCCCAAAAAAAATGAAGATGTGCTGACAATTGCAGAGTGATCAAGGCGGGGAATTTTACTGAGTGATGAAACAGCTTTCAGCAGAAAGGGAAGCAGGGTGGTCCCCCTACCCAAAGGCAGGAAAGTCCCCTCCATGAGGCTAAGTCCTGGAGCTTCTTACGGGCTCAGAATAGGGGAGGGGCAGGCAAACAGGAACAGAAATTCTCCCTCTGCCACACGGATTTCATGCAGGACCAGCAGTCTGGTCTTTCGGCCTTCTGGCTGTTTTTGGCTTAAAGGTACAATTTCACCTCTGACCCTGTCCCTGTTGCTATCACCCCTATGTAAGGATTCTTTTGATATCAGTAACAAAGGAAGAGAGAAGGTATTATAAAAACAAAGAGCTTGAAGGGAAGTGAGATATTTAGGTAATTAACATCCACAGAAGAATATGAGGGCCAGGTGTTCACACCTATAATCCCAGCACTTTGGGAGACCAAAGCAGGAGTTCAAGACCAGCCTAGCAACATGGAAAAACCCAGTCTTTACTAAAAATACAAAAATTAGCTGGTTGCGGTGATATGTACCTGCAGTTTAGGCTACTCCAGAGGTTGAAGTGGAAGGATCACTTGAGCCCAGGAGATACAGGCTGCAGTGAGCTGTGATCACTTCACTGCACTCTGGCCTGGGTGACGCAGCAAGAAACTATCTCAAAATTAAATAAAATTATATATATACACACATATATATACATATATACACACACATATATATACATATATACACACACATATATATACATACATATATGTGAACAATCTATGTCTTTCCTCCCAGTTCCCTCTGGGAGGAACCTGATAGGAGGGACCCACAGTTCTTCCTCATTGTCACCCCTAAACTTCCAAAGCTTTTCTCCCAGACAACACACATGCTTTTCCCAAATGATGAGGGTCATCATCAACCAAGGTTGTTACTCGGCCAGTGGCACTGTACTTCAAACAAGTCACAGGAAAAGATATTTCGGGAAAGAGAATTCTCCAACCTGGATATATACCACGTAACTATCTACGGGCAGTATCTTCTGCTGAACTTGAAGAGACAGCACGTCTAACATTTTTCATAGACGCTAACTTGGAGGTGGACTTCAGAACCCCAGACAGTCCAGCTTCCTTTTGTCCTCACTGTTCTTAACAAAGTCTTTTATTGTCATCATTATGAAAATTAAGTGTCAACTACTTGCAGAATTTCTTCCTTGTATCTTACTAAATTTTCTCTGGGAAAGCAGAAACTCTCAAATATTCTCTGCCTTGAGTTTTTAACAGTTCCTGGAATTTGAATAGAGGAGTTTACATAAGGCAATGATAGTCTGTCCCAAAGAGGACAATATGCTCTAAAATTCTACTCCACATACTCAGAAAACGATGTCATTCTCTTTCTCTATTTCTCATAATAAAAAATACTTCAAAATTTTATTTTTTATGTTTCCTATAATACTTGCATTCATTGCCCATTACATACATGTACACACACACACACACACACACACACACACACACACACACACACATACACCCACCTCAAGTTCAGTACTTGAAAATCATTTATACTGTACTTTTTGGGAGATTTCCCATGACAATTTAGACTCACTGGATTTATTTTTAGCCTTGCTGTACAGACTCTAGTACCTAATCCCCATGTAAAATTAGACTCAGAGAGCTTGGCCACCCCGTCAAAAGTGATGAAATGCCAAGTCAGACAATCTCTTGTGCCCAGGGGTAGTAGCGTCAAAAGAGGGGAAGGGTAATTACCCAAGGACTTGCTGTTGAACACGGAGAAAATAGTGACCTCTACATTCAACTTTCCCTGCGTAACTCAATAAGCTTTGGGTAAACTATCCCTGGGTAAGGGGAGAAAAGGATTCATGTTTTTACAACTCCTTTGTACTTTATTCTTAGTTTGGCTCTTCACTTAGCTCCCTCAAAGAGCAGACAGACTCAAGCCTAATCCT